CACACCGCTCTCAAAGCGGGCTCTGTTCTGGTAGAGCTGCTCAGCTTGGATGGGATCTGGGGCCCGTTGCTCCTCTCAAGCTTGTCTTTGGTTGTCGAGTGCTAGCTCTCACCTGGTAAAAGGGACGAGTTTCACAGCGGAAGAAACCAGGCTGGCTGCAATGAAGCCATGGTGTGTCTTTGGTGTCTGTAGTGAAACCTTGTGGATGCTTGTGGTTTCAAAGTGAGTGGTGATCTCCTGGAGGTGTCCCTGCTGCGGGAGAAGAAAGCTGGGCTTGCGAGCAAGCTCGCTGCTGCTGGGTTTTCTGCAAGCTGTTGCTTAATACATCACTTCCCCTTTCTGTGGAAAACAATCTCTGCCTGGACAGATGCTCCAAAGCCAGCATTTCCCTTGGCGCAGCTGGAGTGTTTTACATGTAATTTTATATGTGGCTGTGGAAAACTCCAGAACAAACTTCCCTTACTCTCTTAAAAGCGCGCTCTTTGCTGTTCAAATTACTGCTTTCCTGTACGTGAAGCGTGCTTTGAACTCTGGAGAAGGTGCTGAAAACCCGAAACGGGCAGCGGCTGAGCCAACGTGGAGCTGAATGGAGGAGGGGACAGGGCAGAGGCACGAAGGTGGGGAGTGGTGCTAACAGCTTTAGTCAATTTTTTTATTATTTTTTTTTTTTTTTCCTTTACTTGCATGCAGTGAAGCCTGTTGCTCTTCTGGGGGAGCAACAGAGTGACAAAGGTGTCACTTTGTCCCAGGTGACATTGATGTGGCTGCTTGACAGGGTACATTTGGGGAAAGCTCTACGGGAATATAAAACCCAACGCAGGTACAAATTTAACAGACCCCTCTTGTCTCTTTGGGTGCAGTTTGTGATGGATTCTCATCAGTGCTGTCTCCCCGCTGCTGCCCACCACGGCAGAGCGCACCCACCCTGGCGCTGGCCCATCGAGCCCACCTGGTTTTTAAGGGCTGGTGTGGGAATGGGATGGTGCCTGCTCAGTACTGCTATGAGAAGGGAAGAGGCTTTTGATCAGGCTGGTGGGTTCCCCCTGTGCAGCAGGGCCAGGCTGAGCCCTGGGCAGCAGGGACCTGGCCAGCACCCTGTGGCCGTGAGCCTTGCCATGGCATCGGCCTTGCTGGGCTCCGGGGAGCCGGTCGCTGAAGCACCAGCCGAGACTTTTGTGTCAACCTGAGGCAGGAGGAGCCCAGACCCCCTGCCCTGCCTGGCGTGTCCTCCCCCGGGGAGGCTTTCTGGGGCTTGCACAGGTGGTGGGAGCTTTGCCCTGTACAGGAAGGTGGATTTGCCTTTTCAGCCCTTAATCTTTGGGAGCAGGAGCTCTGGGTGCGTGGGGCTGCCCGGGCTGAGCTGCTGTGAGCCCAGCCTCTGCCGTGGCCAGGGTGTTCCCTGGGCTCGCCACAGAATTAATGGCAGAAATTGCTTTTATGTCTTAGCCGATCTGACGTCTTTGAAACAACTTCCCCCATCGGTGTGAAACCCCCCAGGGGAGAAATGGTGGATGAGGAAGCGAAACCGGAGAGGCAGCCGGGTCCCTGCGCAGAGCGGGTGGCCGGCACGTGTCCCGGGGCTGTCTGGAGGGAAAAGCTCCTGGCGGAGCACTGCGGGTGGGTTTCATGGCCCTTTCCTGTTCCTGCCCAGTCTTGTGTGATCCAGCAGGGAATCTGCAGCCCCCCTGCAGCTGGATGATGGCTGCCCGGCTGCGTGGGTGGGGGAAATGCATGGCTGCCCACCCTGCTCCTCCCCGGCAGGGATGCTCGTCCTGCTGAGGCCGTGGGGCTGCTCGGGGGCTGCAGCCCACAGAGCCCCTGGGGACGGGTCTGTGTTCACTGGCGAGCCCTATGGCTCCCCCCCTCCCCCCCGCCTGGGCCGATCCTGCGCCACGGTGTGTGTGAGAAACGTGGGTTTGTTCACCAGGCGTCAGTTGGGGCAGGGTCTGCGGCTGAGGGCTGTGAGACGGAGACTCGCCTGGTCGCGAATGGCTTCGTGTGAATGCCCGCGGGGTTATTTCCACCTCCCCGCCTGAAATAATTGCACTGCCGGCTTGGGCCGAGGCCCCCGGGGAACAGGCAGGTTGGAGCTGAGCCCTGCGGCTGCTCCCTCCTCCAGATGGCCTCTTTTTTTCCCCCAAAAAGGACAGCTGGTTCCCCAGTCTCCTCTGATGGTGCTTGTCACGTTTTTCATGGGCAGCACGAAACGAAACGCGCACAAATAAGAAGCCTCAGGGGTGCCGGGGAGGGTTGAACCTCTGCATCTTCACAGGAAAACCCATTTACAGACTTAAAACGCTTTGGATGCCACAGTGCGGAAAGGTGTAGCGTGGTACCGGCACGGGTAATGAACCGTGTGGGGTTCATCATAATGAAGCCTGTGTGGGGAGCGAGGGCTGGGCCGGTGCTGACGCCCCCGGCCGGGCTGGGGGGCTCCACTTGCCCCCAGTTTTATCGCCTGCGTTTGTGGTTTGCAGAGTCGGGCCCAGTACCATGAAATCACTGGGGGTTTCGCTTGCTGAGTTCCTGTTTAGGCTTCCCTTAGTTCCCCTTAGGGCCAAGGCCAGTCACGGAATGTGCCTGGAGCTGGGCCCCAGGGTGGGGGGGCTTGCACCCCACTGCCACCACCCCCCCTCAGCGAGGACCTGAGGGAGGGCTGGGGCTGTGAGAAAAACCAGTGTCCCCCCCAAGCCCCCCAGTGCCCTCTGTGGGCTGAGAGCGAGGGGAGAGCCAAAACATTTATGGAAGGGCTTTATGTGCCTTCCCCACACTCCTCTTCTCCACCACAC